AAATTATAATAAAAAAAACAAAGAATTTATATATTATAAATTATAATTATATTTATAATTATTATATCTAATTATTATATATTAAAATAATACAAAAATTTTTAATCCTTTTACATGTTCTGCATTTTTAAATTTAATACAAATTAAAATGATTTGATTTCATTTGATTATGATTATTCTATTATTGATTTATAATTGGATTTATAACTTGTTGATATTTTCTAGTTGTCAGTGCACTTTATCACATAAACAAGTGGGAAGCTATTATTATGTCATTGTTATTTTTTATTATTTTTTGAACATAATACAAGTACAGTGATTTTTGTTTTGGATTTATGAATACTAATATTAATATTTCAATTTTTGCACGCTTTATGTGAATAAGAAAATGCATCAATTAAGAAACTCTCTAGATCAATTTGTGTGGTATTATTCTTTTCTGAAAAATCATCGTGACAGTTTGTCACAATGGCTGGTGTGAAGTGTGTAATTTTGATTGTGCAGTAAGTAATTTTATTTTTTGTTGAATTTATAAATTAGTAGATATTAATTTACTAACTTTGTTAATTTAATAATTCATTAAATATTGTAATAATAAAAATAATTAGTTATTTCTTTTTCAATCGTTTATTTAATTATAGAGGTTAATTATTTTCGATAATTTATATGATTTTTTATAAGATTTAAATTTAATCATTATTGAATTTTTTTAATGGAATTTGAAATTATTTCATTTTAATATAATTATTTAAAAATCTTATTTTTTTTTTTTGTATTAATTATTAATCTGTTAGGATAACTTTTTAGGCGGGAAAAATTTCAATATGGATACTATTCCATAGAAAAGATTGATATTTTATATATTATATATCCATTTCTGTTTTTTCTGTTTGATTATTCATGATTTATCACTATAATTTATGTATATACAATTATTAAAAATATTAGAATAAAAATAAAAAAAATTAATGAATCAATCATTTTTTTTAATTTGAAATTTTTGTATTAAAATTCCAATTTTTATTATTATTATAGTTTATTAGAATTTTAATCGTTATTATTAATATTAAAAAACTAATCATTTTTTTTTTTTTTAAATAATTATTTCAATTTTTTCAATAAATTATATTTTAAATTATAATCATGTTTTATGTTTTGTTATAGATATTTCTCTGCCTTCATGATAATTTTTTGTTATGCCGCATAGATGACAAGATTTTTCACGTCTAATGGTAAGTCGCATGCTTTTTTATTCCTTCGATCGTTCACACAAGCATAATGATATATGAATTATAATATTTTTTTTTCTATTGTTTTATTATATTTATTATATTATGTATTTTATTTATTGTATTAGATCAAATCACAAAATTTCTTGTATTGCATTTCTTGTATCAATATTATTTTAAAAAAATGAAAATTTTAAGAAAATTATATTGATAATTAATTTTATATTAAATAAGTAATACAATGAATAATATTGATAATTTAAGTATATGTAATTATCTTTTAGATGAACATATATGAATAATATTATCAATAAATTAATAATTTTTTATTGATATGTATATTAAAATATGCAAATAGTATGCTTATATTTATTGGAAGCATTTCAGGATATCTTCTCTAGTATAAATTTCTTTTAGATATTATAAATATATTGTGTCTTATAAATATATTTTGCCATTATTTAGGTTAAGTTAGATTTCTAACTGGGATTTATTTTTTGAGGTTAATTTGATTAGATAGATTATATTTAACTAAAATATATATGTATATATAAATAAATACTTAATATGAAAATATTGAATAAATAAGATGTATTTATAATTAAATGTATGGATTAAGAGTGATAATTAAATTAGATTAAATGATGCAGATAGATAATGTAGATATTTGTTTATGAATAATATCTTTGAAATTTATTAAATTTCAAAGTACAAAAAGGAAAAAAATAAAATGAGAAGAGTATTATAATATTGAATTTTAATAACGATGAAAATTATGTACATATTTACAGCTTCATTAAACACTTATTTGACAAGTATCTGAATTTTGATACACTACTACGTAAGAAATACATTTTTAGCTTAGATACTTACACGTTTATATGATGTGATTCTCGCATATGTGATTCTGTTTTCATTTTTCTTTTTCTTTTGTGCTTAATGACATTTTAAGTAAATGAAATATTATTTAAATAAAAAGAGAAAGAATTGATTTCGTACAAATTCGAAATTTCGATTTGTATTAAAATTTTTGAACTTTCGCGCACATAAATATTTGTGATAATATCAATATAGGAATAATATTATATATGTATAAAGGATTCATCAATAAAATTCTCGCAATAAATAACAACGAATATCATTAGCAATATTTAATTAACAATCTTTCTTGTGAAATTGCTTCGTACAGGAAGACAACTCTCACTAATGATTTTCTAATATAAATATAATTTTTTTTTAGGGATAATCTTATATCTTAAAATATCATTGTAAGGATATGAAAAAGATGCTAAATATTTCTTTTTAAAATTTTTTTGTTTAGCAATTTCATAAGAAAAACTAATTTCTTGCAAAAAAAAAAATTTGTAACATTTGTAATATTTATCTTTCAAATATGAATAATTGAGTTTTTAGGTTTCGAATTAATTTTATAAATTAAAATTTCTTCACACACATAAGATGATTTTGCATTAAAACATCGATACAATATACTTTTAACTATAATTTTTTCTTTGCTTAAAAAGATATTTCATTGTGACGCTTTTTTATAATAGCGCATATTTTTATAGAGACTTCAATTCCTCATATTTAAACGATTCGCGCAGGAAAATTTGAGACATGATAGATTAGTACAATCATTGAATGCAGAAATCTAGATAAAAATATATATTCCTGAAATATCTATTGTAGCTGAGATTATATTATATGAGATGTATTATTTGTATCAGTACTGGGTATTTTTATCTTTAAACTATTTAAATTTTATGAAGTTAATAATTTTTATCTTTTAAAGTAATTGAAATGAATTTTTACAATAAAAAATAAATTATTTATCATTTTTAATGATATAAAATTATCTTTAAATTACATTTTTATCATTTCAAATATTTTCAAAAAAAATTTATTAGATGATTAAAATATATTATTATATTATTATATCAAAATGAAATAATATCAATTTAATCAAAATAATAATTACCCAGCATTGGTTTGTGCAGAAATTGTTTGTGATTATTTTCTATTGTATTTATTGTTACAATAGCAAGGTTTGGAGATGGAAAAAAATGTATTTTCCATAAAGAGTCCCTCTTTTGTCTTCTTTTTTTTTTTAAATATACATATAAAAAATGATATGCAGTAAAAATAGAAATACCATTATAAAATTGTAGTAAAAATAATATGTATCAATGTATGGGAAAGCAATAAGAACTTTCTTATTTATTTGCTAAAAAGATCTCTGGACGATCTAACATATACATATATATATATATATATATATATATATATGTATGTATATGCATATGGAGAGACGGATTTATGCTTCCTTTGATTTTTTTTGAGTCATTTGTTTTCTGTCTTGTTCTTCTTTTTTTATAATTTTATACTTTCTCTCTCTTTCTTCGATAATTCCATGGATATGTTTTAAATTTTCCTCACATGAGAATACATTTAGAGCCTAGAACATATTTTTATTTATTAACATTGGCAGATCCACAAATGTATTTTTATTTAAAAAATAAAATTAATTTTCCTTCTTTATCAATTTTTTTTTAAAAATTTATATAAAAAAACATTAATATTTTTAAAAATTATTACAATTTTTTAAAAATTAACATCAACATTAATATCTTTTTTTAATGATAGTAAGTGAATTAAATTTTATTTATATTAAAATCAAAAGAAAAAACATTAAAGATTTTGATAGATCTACCATTGTTTGTACGTCAATCACGTTCAACCGAACATTCAATCTCTTATCATGTTTATCGATATGATATTTAATTACGATTATGCGGCTTAAAAATTAGTATTAGATACAATGGGAACAATCTTCTAACGTATTTATTTTAATCTTAGGAAGCAACGTGAAAAACAATTGTTGTTATTATCGCGCTAGGATGATTCCTATGATCAGAAAAACGATCATCCGGTTGAATATCGTGGTTGTTTGACTTCCTGAAAGGAGAAATAATTTTGCTTAATATACGTATTTTACTGAAATATGTATTTCATCATTTCCAATTCTTTCTTTTCGAATAGAAGAATATTTCATGAAGTGAAAAATTTTTATGATTTTTATTTCAAAGAGTTAAAATGGCAATGAAAAAAATTAGGGAATCTTTTATCTTTTATCTTATTAACACATTCTATGAATATTGTTATTTAAAAAATTATGTTTCATATTTATAATTACAAATATTGTTGAAAATTTCAACAAGAAAAAGTTTCTTAATACGAAACTTGGAAAAGAAATAGATATTCTTCAGATTTATAGCTTTGATTCAACATCAAAGAGTTTTTTTGTTGAGCATTATTCGATCTTCAGTAAGATATTTCGAATATCCAATATCGATAATAGTTTTCGTCTTCAAAGCTATGCTATTTCATTTGAATAGCTTTTTAAATATGTCTGATCTATCTATTCAACCAATTGAATCGTACTTTTATAATAATAGAAATTTATTTTTCTTTAGAAAATATTCTGTTTTCTAAACAATGTAATTGAGTTTAAAGAATTCTATGTTAAGCAATTTTGTTGTTCTTAAATATTTCGAATATTTTATATTTAAGTTATAGTATTTAAATTAAATGATTAATTTTTTTATATATTTTCATATCCATATAATTTTGTTTTCTTTAATAAATGACATTAAATAAATGGTTGAAGCATAAATGAAAACATTAAATAAAAATTTAATCCTCTCGATAGAACTTTTCGGTTAGATTAATTATCATTTGGCTCGAAACCGTTGTCCCATTTTAATCGATGAATTATTTATCGAACGGTCAAGCGTTTAATCACGAGTCAATTAACCTATAATGTAATCAATTTCCCAATTTATTTGCATTTGAAAGTATCCCATTTAATCAGACAGCGGCTAGTAAATTTTCCATAAATCCCGTTTAAACATTCACTGTTATTGTTATTCGTAAATAAACGATAATTTTTCAATTTGTATCTAGCCAATAAAAAAGTGCAACGTATTACGAATCACATATTTTATCCGTTATGACATCGCATATTTTCATAACAATTCAATTACGAAATTTCAATATTTTTAATTTCGTGTGATAAAAAACGATAAGAAAACAACGAGAAAAAAAAAAATATAAAATCATTCGAATTGCAGCAACCAATTGAGCAACCAATTGAAAGTTCCTAGAGCAAAAATGAAAACGAACGAGATACGATATCGAATTGTTCGTCGTAAACCGTATATTTCATCTTCGATATTCCATTTTTTTTTTTTTCGCATAATATTCATTCCCGATATTAAAATTTAATTTTCGTGAGAAAGAAACGACAAGTGAAGAACGAGAAAAAGTACATAAGAATTCGAAGAAACGTCCAATCGAGCGGCCATTAAAAATTGTCGGAACTAAACACTCGGAGAGTGACATCTGGTGGAAATTCTATCAAAGTGTTCATGAGTGGGGATTCACTAGGGATTTTACCATTGATTAAATCGTTCCGAGTGTGGCTCTGTGCCCTGGTCTCGCGGCTCTCCATCACAGGAGCTTTCAGGATCCTTTCGTCTCCTTCCACGCTCTCCTCATTGCTCTGCAGATAGACGGTCGCTATTGTCGCCAAGCACTTCAGCTTCATGTCGCCACGCTTGAAATGTTTGTTGGCGACGCGAAACTCCAAGCCTAATACCGCGGTTTCCAATCCCTTCTCGTCCACAGCGGTAATGTGTGGTCCCTTCAGGTACTGATTATCGGCCTGAAATATATCGTCGATTATTTTCGTGACGGTGAAACGGATGGAATCGTAAAGAGAAAGAAACAATTACAATTAAATTTTTTTTTTTTTTTGTAAGGCCATTTAC